TTACTAAGAACTTCCTTATCACTGATACCAACTGTAAAAGATATTTTGAAATCATCTTTTAAATACCTAAACCATCCTATCCATTTAGATAACTCCAACCTGAAAAAGGAGACTCTCCGTATAATCCAATATAGGGAGTACCGGTACCCCGCAGGCAGCTGACAAGTTTTCATGGATTGTCAGCTTAGTGGTTTTGCCATTTTGGCTGCAAGGTACATGTATCATAGGGTTCAATGAAAAGATAGCTAGATCTTGAAAGTTTACACTGAGGATATAGATTTTGGTCAGGGCAATCTGGGCTCTCAGTCCATGTTCACAGATCAGGTATACACTGTGCTATATAATAACCTGGAAAGCTACGTGTAGAACAGATTTTCTCACTATTGCAGAATGTCCCAGAGAGGGGAGATAATCCCAGAAAAATTGGGTGGGGGTGTGCAGCCTGCTTCCCAAAACCCTTACACCCCAAATCCAAATTCTGCAATTTTCCCCATCATATTTATAGCCTGACCAAAACTTTTGATACCCTTTTTAAGACCTGAACCTTAAATCAATACCCTGTTTCAGACCAACCTTGTTCTTAGGGCCTTTTCCCTCAAAAGGGCAAAAGCCCCGGGAACGAGATTGATTTCAGGCCTGCCTTAAAATTAATTCCCTAGTTCAGACCAATGTTACAGGCAATGTTCATATGCTTTTATTTGGTACTGTACATGTAGGATAACTTGATCGAAAATCATACCCGAAATTGCCATGCATGTTGGTAGACTTGCTACAAGTTGACCTCGTGAGTCTCAGGGTAGAATTGCTAGGCAAGTTGAGAGGTATCAGGCTGCAAAGTGCACAGGACCTTCCTGGAAGTTTAGCATGTTGGATCACAATGTAATGCAAACTGAATGAGAAAAGTTAACCGTGATGGGGCCTACTGTGGCTCGCTCTCTCTCTCTCACTCTCTCTGTCTCTCTCCTCTGCAGAGGTTCATGGGGGATTCTTCTATTTAAGTGAGTACAGGTGCAAGACAAATTATGGGGAAACTTTGAGATTTGTTCAATTGCACTCAACTCACA